GATGCTTAATGACATTAGGCTCATCACCAGATTGGACTCTGATGCCATTAAGGATTTTTGGCCTGGCCTTCTAGAAACAGACAGGGTCATTATTCTAAAACAAGATTGAGGGGATCCCTGGGTGGCTCAGTGGTTTAGCGCCTGCCTTTGGTCCAGGGCGCGATCCTGGAGTTCCGGGATCGAGTCCCGCGTCGGGCTCCTGGCATGGAGCCTGCTTCTCCCTCCTCCTGTGTCTCTGCCTCTCTCTCTCTCTCTCTCTCTCTCTCTCTCTCTATGTCTATCATAAAATAAATAAATATTTTTAAAAAAATAAAATAAAACAAGATTGAACAAGGCAGGGCATCCACATGGCTCCCTGTCTCCAAGTCATATTTACTGTGGGCAGCTCTAAACATGAACTGATTAAAACTGAGAGCCATTCTAGGATGTGTTTTTATCTCTGCTTTTGAAAATAATGTCTAGCCATTAGATGAGTCTTGAAAGCAGGGATCAGCAAACTTTTTGTGTAAAGGGCCAGAAAATAAATATTTTTTATTTTGTTTTATTAAGATTTATTGATTTATTTCAGAGATTTAGAGAGAGACAGCATATGAGCAGAGGGGAGGGCCAGGGGGAGAGAACCCCCAAGCAGACTCTGTGCTGATTGTGGAGCCCAACATGGAGCTCTGTCTCATGACCCTGAAATTATGACCTGAGCCAAAACAGAGTCACACATTTAACGGACTGAGCCACCCTAGTGCCCCTATTTTATTTTAAGTAACCTCTACCCCCAAGTTGGGGCTCAAACTCATGACCCTGAGATCAGGAGTTGCATGCTATACTGACTGAGCCAGAGTCTTTGTCACAACTATGCAACTTGGCCATTATAGCATCAAAGCAGCCATAGACAGTAAGTATAAGAATGACTGCAGCTGTATTCCAATAAAACTTTATTTACACAAATGAAGGTCCAGATTTGGCCTAAGGACCATAGTTTGCCAATCCCTGATTTAGACCAACACTATCCATTAGGAATACAATGCAAGCCACATACGTAATTTAAATTTTTCTAATAGCTACATTAAAAAGTAAAAAGAAACAGGTGAATTTAATTTTAATAATATATTTTACTGAACCCAATATGACCACAGTGTTATCATTTTAACATATAATCTAGATTAAAAATTACTGAGGGGGGGCACCTGGGCCTGGGTGGCTCAGTCGATTAAGCGTCTGCCTTCGGCTGGATCATGATCTCAGGGTCCTGGAATTGAGCCCTGAGTAGCGCTACCTGCTGAGCAGGGAGTCTGCTTCTCTCTCTCTCTCTCTCTCTCATAAACATTTTTTTAAATTACTGAGATATTTCATAACTCTTTTTTCATCCTAAGGATTTTACATCCTTAAAAATCCCATATTTTACACTTACAGCCCATCTGAATTTGGAATAGTCATTCAAGTGCTCAATGACCACATGTGCTAGTGGCTACCATATTGGACACTGTAGCTCTAATAGGCAGACCAATATCATAAGGAGACAGCCACACAGGTAAACAACACTCCCTTACCAATTGATAAGCACCTGTGAGTAGAAAGCAGAATGTACTATAGGCAGGGACAGGGAAGCATTAAAGGAATCTTCTGATACTTGCCCCTCCCCTGCCCAGAGTTCCTTTTTAGAATCAGTTGAATATTCTTTTTTTTTTTTTTAAGATTTTATTTATTTGAGAGAGTGTGAGCTAGAGGGAGTGGGAAGGAGAAAGAATCCAAAGCAGACTCTGAACAGAGTGCAGAGCCAGTCATGGGGCTCAGTCCCATGATATTGAGATCATGACCTCAGCTGAAACCAAGAGTCGGGCACTTAACCCACTGAGCCACCCAGGCACCCCAAGTCAATGGAACACTCTTATGCCTTTTACCAAACACCATCCACCACACGTGCTCAGCATAGGTGACTGTAAAATGAAGCATTCAGACTTTGCTGGCTGATTTTTGATAATTTTCCATCTAGGGATCAGGAGGTGAATTGCTTTCATTTCTCATGGTTTTTCCTGGGCTCCAGATCAGCAACACAGTAGCCCATGACCTGGTACAGCCATAGAAGATGTCATGAGGCAGCACATGGGGTCCAAGCAACTATCTCCACTGACGAGGATGGTTTTTCTATCTAGGAGAAAGGGGATCAGAGCAGGAATTTGAACCCCCAGACCTGGTATGAATCCCACTCTGCCATTTACTTACTGGGTAACATTTGGCAAGTTATTCAGTATCATCAAACCTCAGTTTCCTCACCTGTGTAATGAGAATAATGAAAGCAGCAACCTTCAGTGATTGGTGTATCCGTGGAGAGAGATGACCATGGATGGTAAGATTATCTGGGACATGGTAAATGCTGAATAATAATACATTATTATTATTATTATTATTATTATTATTATTATTGGCCCATCAAGAATGCCCTCCTGAACCCTGAATTAATTGCTCCCTCCTCACATTACTCTAGACACCCTAGTGTTTGCATCACCTCCTCCTATATTATGGTTCATCTTGGACGTAGCTGTGTCTCCCATTCAGCTCTGATTCCCCAGAACAGGAACTGTGTCTTGTCCCTCTCAGCAAGAACAAAAATCTACCCACACTTGGTGATTTTTCCCTTCCCTAGATTCTGGAACATTCTTTCTGTTCACCATTGCCTTTTCCTTCTCCAAGAGACAGTTCCTAATGTTCCACCCACCAAAATGGGTAAGCCTCCCTCCACTTATACTCTCTCAAGGCCCGCTTGCACTTTTTCTTCAAAGCATTTAGCACTTGTAATTGATGAGTTACCTGGAGAATCTGCTTTGATGTTGATCTTCCCACTGGACTGAGAGTCCCACAAGGGCAGGGTTCGAGTCTGCATTATTCATCTAGGAGTTCTCAGCCCACAGAGCACATAGCAGGTGCTCAGGAAACGTTTGTTGAGTGAATGAGAGACTATTATTCATTCTGGGATTTAAAAGACCAGAGACTATTCTCAGAATAATAAGACAGCTTAAGGAACTTTTGTAACTGACCTTTACAAAATCATTTGCTCAACATCCACCATACATTTTCCTCCACCTCTCTTAAATAACGAATTCTCTGTGGACTTTATAAAACCTTCAAGCTGTGCTGTCCAATAGAAATATAATGTGATGCATGGATGAGCTTTTACAGATTGTAGTACCTACATTAAAAAACAAGTAAAAGGAAACAGGTATGAATTTTAATAAAAGATTCTATTTGACCCAGCATATCCAAAATGTTATCACTTCAACATGTAATCGATAACAAAAAATGCTGATGAGCTATTGTATGTTCTTTTTTCTTGTACTAAGGCTTTGAAACCTTATGTGTATTTTGCACTCACAGCACATCTCGATTTGTGCTTGCCACGTTTCACATGCTCAGTAGCCACATGTGATTTGTGGCTGCCGTCTTGGAAGCCGTAGAGAAACTACTGTGGTTTTCAAATTCTTCTTCCCAGTACTATGTGTGAAAGCAGAGCCTTTCTCAGGTGGTCTTCGTAGGACACCAGATAAGCGCAGCTGAGGTTTATCACCCAGCACTGGACAAAACCTGTCCTCATAATAGGCAAGAAGGAAGGGGTCAGTCATACCAAGAGGTGACATATATTGGGGCGTAATGCATCCCATGAGTTTTACAAAGTGCTATATACATGTGTTAAATCATTTGATCCTCTAGCAAGGGTGAGTGTGATGTTTTTATTCCCACTTTACAGAGGGTAAGTAGAGGTACAGGGATTGAAGTGATCTGTCTGCTGAAGGACACCAAGATAGTAAGTTGTGGAGCTGGGATTTGAACCCAAGTGGCCTGGCTCCAGCTTGTGCCTTAGCTGGCCACTTCTACAAATGAACTGTCTCAGAATTGGCCACTGTCATTTCTCCAGGATGGTGTCACAAACAGGACCTAGAGTTGGGGCAAGCCACTTAGATTTGTTTCATTCAACAGATTGTGTTGAACACCTTCTGTGCACCAGACAGTACACTCATAGAGCTCACATCAAGGGAAGGAATTTGATAATAGACGCTCCCCCAAATGGCATCACTGAGATTGGTAAGAAAAGCCTGGTTTTGAAAGAGGGAGATTTACAAGTAGATACTCCCAGTAGATTCATCACTGAAGAAGTTGGCACCAGAGGGAGAGGTATATCTATCTCTGTCAGGGAAGATAAAGATGTTCTAGTCCAAAGTGAGATACCCCGCCCAGAGTGTTCTTGAAGATGTGGCCTGTGGGTACCAGGAGCTCGCTCCAGCCATATGTAGGGGAGGCCCAAGACTATGCCAGAGGGACTGGCTACCAGCAGCCAGCATCAAGGCAGCTGTGAGACCAGAGCTCGGAATTCGTAGCCAGGGGCAGAGAGGGACGACGTGGTGCTGAGCCCTAGAAATGTCTTGCCCAAACTCATGTTATGGAATGTCACTGACAGAATGAAGAAGTCTGTGAGCAAGAGAACAAATGCATGAAGGTAGCTCTTCACCATGGGATTATCCAGCCATTTATGTTTCCATCAGTCATTGATTGAGCTGTTTGACATCTCATAAGAGCTTGAACAATTTCTGTTTAATTTTCAGTGGCAAGAAATCTTCCCCAGATGTATCCCACTTTCCCCCAGAGCATGTGTCCTATTTGGATCTCTAGAATTACACTTTCATAATAACAACACAAATAATAGCTGCTAGCAACCTACTCTGTGTCAGGCGCTGTGCTAAGCATTTACATGCAGCTTCATTCAGCCCCCTTAAGAGGCCCAGGAGGTAGGTTCTGTTTTTCCTCCATTTTCCAGATGAGGAAACTAAGGGTCAGAGAGGGCCAATGATATACCCAAGGCCACTCAACTGGAATATGGTGGAGCCAGGAATTGAACTTGGACTTTCTAACTCCATACTTCTGATCCCATGTTTGCACACATCAAAAATGAGCATATTGCTTTGTAGACTCAGACGCCATGGTTACATATGACTCTCTCTCTCTTGTCTTTGAAGGTGGTGGCCCTTAGTAAGAGAAGTCAGGAGGCCGAGGCAGCTTTCCTGAGTGTTTACAAGCAATTAATTGAAGCACCAGGTAAGATACATTTGGATTCCATAATTGAATAATTAACAACAAGGAACAGCCAGCTGTTAGGTCGTCAAACAGGGGTCTCCCCTCAGTGGGATCTAGGGACAAGCCAAGACCCTTGGGCAAGGCTGGGCCCTCCACAGGTGGGAGTTGTGGAGGGGTGAGAGGGTCCACACCCGGTCTTATGTAACATGTCCCCACACAGTTCCTCTATCCTCCCCCACCACCTTCCAGTGTTAGCCAGAGAGCTTTGGGGGGCTCCAGGCAAGATCTCCCACCTGGACCTTCTTGGGGAGCCAAGTGTCTTGTCTGCCAGAACCCCCATCCCATTGCCACAAAGGACAGATGGTGCCCAGTGCTCTCTGCCAGCTGAGGGTGCTGGAGGAAAGCTTTCAAATGTTTCCCCAACATGGCATAGCTAACCTCAACCCAGAAGAACACATCCTTATGTGACTCTGTTTACATAAAATATGAAGACAGGCAAAAATAATCTGCCGGCACTGTTCACAATGCCCAAAAGGGGAAAACAACCCAAATGTCCATCAGTGGATGGATAAAGAAAATATGGTATAATGGAATATGATGCACTGAACCTGCTACAATACGGATGTGCCTCAAAAACATGATGCGGAGTGAAAGAAGCCAGACACAGAGGTCACATAGTATAAGATTCCACTTATATGGAATGTCCAAACTAGGCAAATGTAAAAAGACATATCAGATTGGTGGTTACCCGGGGCTGGGGCAGGACCGGGGGGGGGGCAGTGACTGCTAATGGGTGCAGGATCTCCTTTTGGGGAGATAAAAATGCTCTGGAACTAGATAGAGGTGGTGGTTGCACAACTTCATGAATGTGTCAGCTCCCCCTGAACTGTTCGCTTTAAAATGCTAAATTATAGGTTCTAAGAATTTCACCTTGACTAAAAAAAAAATTAACCTGTACTGTTAGAAGTCAAGACAGTGGTTTCTCTTGGAGGGGGCAGTAGTTCCCAGGAGGGGCCTCGGGGGGCCGGAGATGCTATTTCTTGATCTTGGTGTGGATTATACAGTTTGAAAACATTCATTCAGCTGTACACCTAAGATATGTAGATTCATTTCTGTAAAAAAGTTTCCCTTTTCCAAAATGGCCCATCCTCTGCCATCTTCTCATTTTTTGAATCAAAAAGAGAAGGAGCCCAGAGAGGTGTAAGTGATTTATTTAAGTGGTAGGGCTGGGAAGGGACCCTCTGTGCAAACTCCCTCCACCTAGGCAGCCTCCCAGTCCTTTCTGGGCCCTTCACACAGCCGCAGGAATCAGTGCTATTGGATGATTGAGGCTGGGGGCTTATGAAGAAGAAAATGAAATCCCAGCTAAGCCAGGCCATGGAGAAGTCAACATCATTTCTACTCCATGTCGAGTGGTTTGTGGAATGTTTGTGTTTGTGGGTGGGCAATTCCCTCATTCCATCTGTCTTGAGCAAACAGAGTGGCTTGAATTGTGTTCTCCCAAAATGTTTGTCCACTGTGCACCTTGGAATATGATCTTCTTTGGAAGCAGAGTCTTTGCAGATGTAATTACTAAAGGATCTCGAGATGAGACCATCCGGATACAGGGTGGACCCTAAATCCAATGACTAGTGTCCTTGTAAGAAGAAGAGAGGACATAGACCCAGGGAAGACCATGTGAAGACAGGCACAGGTTGAAGTGATGTGGCCACAAGCCAAGGAATGCCTGAGGCCACCAGAACTGGAAGAGGCAAGCTCCCCGAGCTCTGTGAACATGTCAGTTTAAAAAGCACTCCCCTGGTATAAAGGTGGTTCTACCCTCTGCGTGTTACAGCCCTGGGAGGACAGGCCCCCCAGTCCCCTTCACTGGCATACCCAGAGGTCAAGTCTGACACCTGAGGTCTCACAGCCAGGAGCACTGGGGGCTCATGTCTCAGCACAGTGAACATATACATCCCGAGCGTCTGCTCTCTGCCACAACTTGGCTGCACAAAGGAGACCTTGTCTATTTCCTGGAGCTCCTGTAACAAGTTACCACAAACTGGGGACTTCAAATAACAGACATTTATTGTCTCAGAGTTCTGGAGGCCAGAAATCTGAAACTGAGGTATCTACAGGGCTGTGCTCCCTCTGAAAACTCGAGGGGAGGGTCCTTCCTTACACCTTCCAGCTTCTTGTGGCTCCAGGTGTTCCTTGCCTTGTGGCCACATCACCCCAATCTTTGCTGTGTCTTTGCATGGCCCTTCCTCCATATGTCTGGGTTCCAAATCTCCAAAGCTTTTTTTCTATTAAAAGGGCACTAGTCATTGAATGTAGGGCCCACCCAGATAATCCAGGATGATCTTCTCTAAAAATCCTTAACTTAATTACATCTGCAAAGATCCTTTTCCCAAATGAGGTCACATTCACAGGCTCCAGGCATTAGGACATATCTGTTTGGGGGCCACCATTCAGCCCACTGAGGAGGGGTATGCAAACTCCATCCTCTTTGCCCTGATCCTGCCCACTGGTTCCTCACTCCCAAGAGGGCAGCACGCTGTGTGCGTCTCCTCAGTGAGGATGTTTTGGCAGTGAGAATGACTGGGGTCAGACAGTACAGCCCTTGGGGCTCTATGCCCACCATGAGAACATGGCCCTGGGCATGAGGCAGAGATGGCCATGTCTGCAGCCCTGGCTGTTGTCACCCTCACTGAGGACCACACCAGGCATGTGGCTGAGAGGTCCCACTCCTGGCAGGTACTTTGCTTATGTCTCTACTCTCATCAGAGGCATCTGGGAAAAAAAAAATTAGTAAAATAAGCCCTCTTATTTACTATCATTTTCCAATCCTTAAGGCCCCACAGGCTCAGCAACAAATGACATTGGAGAGTAACCCATAAGAGACCCCAGAGATGTCTCCTAGGAGTCCCCACACAAGGATCCTCCTCTGGACCCAGTGTACATCCCTTGTAGCACCAGGGGGCAGCACTGAACCTGGCTTGCGTTTCCAGGCGCAGGGTTCTACTCAGGTTGGAATCCTACTTGGACCACTTACTCCCTGGGTGACTGCAGATGAACTAATTTACCTCCTAAGCCTCAGCCTCTTCTTGTATAAATTGGATACTGAGCTACTTTCGTCTTCATGTATGTGTCTGGCTTCCCTAGAAGTGAAATTCTCTAAGCCTGGGACTGAGTCATACTGAATTTGGAAACCCAGAACCTGGTACACAGTAAGCACCTAATAATTGTTGAATGAATTAGAAATAAGACTCAGATGCAGAAGGGGAAGGGTTATTTGAATGAAAAGGTGCTCTTTCAACTGGAGCCCTCTACGTGTCATGTGTTTATTTACTCAGATAGCATTTATTAAGTGCCTGCTGTGTGCCTGGCACTTGCTAGACACTGAGAACCTAGCCGTAAGCCTGCAAACAGCAGACACAAACCCAGCCCTCAGGGAGCTTGCATTACTGTGGCAGAGGTGGCTAGATCATCGCTGGAATAATCACTGCTTGTGGCAAACCTAGGGGAGCTCCAGCAAGCCTAGTGCTTGAGGGTGAGAAGAGGTTCCTGCTCCTGCTAGGGAGAGTCATTCATTCTGGGATTCACTGTGAAACCTTCATCTTTATGGAGACAGGGCCGTTAACTCACTGCCAGGGCCAGCGTTCCAGCCACGGTCTGTGAGAGTTCCCAAGACTGGTGCAGAGCTTTCCAGAAGGTCCTCATGCCCTCCTGCCCCTCTCCCCAAAGGGTCATTCCAAGTCTGGTGCTTACTCCACGCATCTGATTTTCCAGCTCTGCTCCCCAGAAATGGCGAGGCGGGGGAGACGTACGTCCCTAGCTGTCACTGAGTTGGAGAACAAGGAGCCTTAACTGATGAAGACATACCCTTCGAACGGCCCCTTTAGGGGCTCTAATTCATTTTCAAGACATTTAAGAATAACAAAATGTTTTAATGATTTCTTAGGGGAATTAGGAAGACATATTTTTGTTCTCATTAAATTTTATCCTCAGACACAAGAACCAAATGTCAGATGTGTTTTTGGTGCTCAGAGCTTCCCTGCGCACTCTCCCCCCACCCCCACCCCCCGGACACACACGCTCTGCTCCAACCCCCTCCAGGAAAATAACACTCCTGGAAAATTTGCTAGGATGCACACTCTCCTGTTTTTATATTTCTTGACAGGCAAATTATTTGTCGAAATACTTTCCACCCCCCTCCAAAGCCACACAAGTCCTGATTCAACATTTTTGTTTTGAATGACTGCTGCCAACACAAATCTTTGGCAGAGAATGCGATATGGCGTGATTGCTCAGCAAGTATTTTGATAAGTGTGCAGCCTGTATGTCTGTAATTACGAAAGAAAACCGTAAATCTTTTGGATATTGTTCACACAGATGTGGCGTGAAGTGAGAAAAAAAAGCAGTAAAACGTGTTAAAAGCATAATTAATGTCATTGTTGTGGAGGATGATTTGATTTAAACCTTTCTGACTTCTGTATCGGTGGCGGCTGATTTCTTTATCGCGCTCACAGTCACTAGGTACCGACCCAAGCTTCACAAAGCTAACTTGTTAACTGAGTGATTAGTTAAAAGTAAAAGGGGAAAAAAAGAAAGAGAGAGAGAGAGAGAAGAAAAGAAAGAAAGAAAGAGAGAGAGAGAGAGAGAGAGAGAAAGAAAGAAAGAAAGAAAGAAAGAAAGAAAGAAAGAAAGAAAGAAAGAAAGAAAGAAAGAAAGAAAGAAAAAGAAAGGAAAAGAAAAGAAGAAAAGGAAACAAGGAGAGAGCAAGTGAGAGGGCAGGCAGAGGAGCACTGCTGAAGAGATAAGAAGAGAGGTGAGTGCCCCCAAAACGTTTTTTCTGCTTTACTTTGGTTTTTAAAAATCCAGTGCAAGAGATGACAACTCCTGACAGGCATTACTCTCCTTGCTTCTTCTTTCAGGAGGCAAGGCTGGTCAGCTTAGGTGCTCGGCTGCAGAGTCAGACCCAGTGGGGTAGGACTCTCCGTTTGGTGCTTTTGAGCTGTGTGACCTTGGGCAAGGGCTCC